GAGGGATTGTAATTAGTCTTTGGGTGGTGAACATGACGTAATGTATGCCGAAATAGAAGTATAATGATGTACACCTGAAATTTATATAATGTTATAAACCAATGTTACCGCAGTAAAAAAACAATTAAAGAAAAAAAATTAATGCAATGGGTAGCCTATTATTTAAAGATGTGTTATATTTTAAGCCTTTTTTGGTGTGAAAAAAATCTTTGGTAAATTAAAGTCTCTCTTTCATACTGTGACAACTTGGATTTCCATTCTCTGAGAATTGGGTAGATTTTGAAGTATGGAAAATGTACAACTCTATTGGCAATGTCTGTGTGTTATTACTTACCCGACACAAACATCACAGCCCCAACTGTGAGTTTTGACCAGCCACCTGAAAGGCAGCATTTCCAGGTCTGCTGGGACACAATGTCAGGTGCACCATGCCCAGGTGGCTTAACCAAAAGTTACACTCGACCCTGTTTGATGTAGTCCTGCCATCTGTATCTAAACATTGTCATTTTGTTCTTATTCATGAATCTATTTTGACTAATTTAGGAAACTGCTATATATTAATAATCATGCTTCTATGTGTATTCTCTTTAAAACAGAGTCATCCAAAATGGACACGAAAAAAGAAAGAAATGGTGAGACATAAATAAAATATTTGGTGCATCTTAAAAGGTTATTGAATGTATTAAAACCTTTCTTATAGTATATAATCTGCAAAATGCTCTGTTTGAGAATATTGCATAATGAAGATTTGTATACATTTTGAAGTATAAATTTTTTCTACTCATGGTTATTTTGTCATATTTCTCTTAAGTTTGGGAGGTTTTTTCTTTTCTTTTTTTTTTTTTTACTGTGGAATTTGCTGTCGTCTTTATTTTTACAAAATCGGGCTCAAAAGTGGTTTTTACACCTTAAAAAAAAAAGCAGTTAATATAATTTAGATATGCTGCCACCTAGTGACAGTAACAAGCTATGAGGTCTGAGGAATGAGTCATTCTTGACTGAGGTAAGAGACTTGACATAAGTATTAGATATGGAGAAAAAAGAAAAATTTTTTAAAATTTTAAGAGGCTATACCTTCTATGTATATATCTAAGAGGCTATACCCTCATACACTATATAAGATAATTCAAAAAGAGTTTATTTTTAAAGAAACTATTTACAAAGGCCTGAATTTTGTAAGGGGAGGGCAGTAGTTACTCAACAGCCATCTTCCACTGGTGGAGGAACGCAGCCCACCTGAGATGACCTCAGAGTGGGAACCTCTGAGAGAGGATAAGTAGCTTGATCTCATTCTCCTCCCTCCTCCAATCTCCTGCCAGGGTTCCCCACTGGCAGAGACTGACAAGAAGCCAAAGGGCAGGGGATGCCAAATCTGCAGGGGAAGAGAGCAGGGAGGGTGGTGAAGGGAGGTGAGTGGGCCTGGAGGGGAAAAAGGATGCTTATCCCGCCCACCTACCCTGTAGGAATTTGCAATTGAGTAACAACAGTGCGCCTCCTACATTATTGCTCTCTCTCTGCTTTTTTTCTAAGTATCACTGATGGCTATCTTATAGAATATTATTTATTTGTTTATTGTGTCTCCCTCACTTGAATATAAGCTCCATAAAGGGCAAGGATTTGGTTTACTTTGCCATGGTATCCTCGTGCCCAGAAGGAAGCCTGGTGTTAGTAGGTGCTCAGGAAATAGTTGTGAATGAATGCACGGATAATGAATGCATGGATAATGAATGCAGGCGAGCATTTGACAGTCACTGGCATAATCAATTTGCAATAATGTCCTATAGAAATTCAGAGAAAAGAAAGATAAAAATGGCTTTCAGGTCCCAATAGAGCAGGGTTCTCAACCAGAGAATAGTTTCTTCAGACTACATAAACCCCTCCAGAACCTCCTTGATTCTAGCCTGTCTTAGGGCAGTGTTTCTCAGCCTCAGCACTACTGACATTGTGGACTAGACAATTCTTTGTTGTGGGGGCTGTCCTGTGCACTGTAGAAGGTTTAGTAGCATCCCTGGCCTCTACCAGTGACTAAATGCCAGTAGCAACCCCCACCTTCAGTTGTGACAACCAAAAATGTCATCAGACATTGCAAATGTCAGGGGCGGGGAGGGGGGCACTTTATCTCACCACCCCGGGATAAACTTTCAAGTACATAGGAACCACCCAGAGATCTTGTTAAAATGCAGATTCTGATTCAGAGGGCCTAGGTAGGAGCCAAGATCCTGCATTTCTATTAAGTACCCTTTAAAGCAGTTAGAGGTGGATATAAGAACAGTACTCCTGCCCCTGTGTTGTGCTGAAATTTTTCTTTTTGGAGGAGGGTAGAGAGGAGAAGGAGAGGGTCAGTGGGGAGCCCAGTGTGGTTTAAAAAACTCTTCAGGTCATTTTGATGTTTCTCCTGGTGAGAGCAGCTAATTGCCTTTCATTGATTGAAATAGACCAACATGTTCTCTAGTCCTGTGATTAGGTCTCAGTCTTTTGGGGAGCCTGTGCTCCTGGAATGTTAACTTCAACTTGCTTCTCAGTCCCTCCCTGCCCCTTAGGTGGGTCAAGACGGCTAGAGGGAGCTGGAGATGGGTAGGTTAGGTTCTGATAAAACCCCAGCAAGTTAGGCTCTGGTCAAATAGTTTCTCCTGAGGCCAGGTCTTGTTAAGACAAACAGAATGCTCTGGTGTATTTCAAAATGGTTCCTTTTTCCCGCCCCCTGCTGGAAGCACAAAGGGATTTTTCTCTGGTATTCACTGTGAGGACCTGGTCAAGCTCCTGGAGGTAAAACTCACTAAAGCACAGGGGCTTCCTGTGACTGGGTCCCCCTGGAGTTTTAACTGGCAGACTTGCCCACACTGAGCCTCCAGCAATTTGTCAATTATAGTGCAGGTTTTTCCACCCTGCCACTGGTTCCTGTGGAGGTTTCTGCTGCAGTAAGTTGTGATTCTCCATCTGCCTATTTCTTTCTCCAGTTTTGGGGGCAGCTTTTTTGCCCTGTCATTTCACTTCTCTAACGGATCTGAGAAAAGGTGTTGATTTTTCAGTTTGTTCAGCTTTTTACTTACTGTTTGGATGCATTGGTGACTTTTAAGCTCCTTACATGCCTGACCAGAAACCGGAAGACGAGGCAGTAATTTTAAATAAATAGATGTGGGTCAGATGTTATAGATTATCAAAGGCTATGGTGTAAAGCTTAGACTCCTTAGGCAGGCAGGAGGCCATTGGAAGTTTCTGAGTTGGGAGAAAAACAATGCTTCACTGAGGAAATACCATTTAGGCTGAGGAATAAATAAGAGTTAGCTAGACCCTAGTCAGGAAGCATTGTTTGGGAGAAGGAAGCTTTCAGACAGCAGGAATAGCCCAGGGTGACCGGATAATTCATCATCCAAATCAGGGCGTTTTGAAAATGGAAGGGGCACTATTAATAATTATGCTGGGGCGACAGGCACAGACTAGTACTTTCCTGGGCAACCTGGGAGGGTCGTCACCCTACATTTGAGGAGCTACAAGAAGGCCTGTATGAAGAGAACAAGGTGTGTATATTGTGGGTATTTTGGGGGGAGGGGTGGGTAGCTGGTGGTTCAAGTTAGGTTGGAGCCAGTAGATCCTTCTCTTGTACTCATGATCATATGGCCTTGAGAAGCCACTGAAGAGTTTTAAGCAAGGAGGTGAAAAGATCAGATATACATTTTGAAAAAATGGATTGGGGAAGGGCAAGAACAAGGCGGGGATATCAGTGGGGAGGTGATTATGGCTTGGAGTAGGGTGGTGGTGGCAGTAGAGATGGGTTCTAGAGATATTTAGACTTGGTGATAGACTGGTTATGGAGATGAAATAAGAGGGTGTTGCCAAGGAGTCTTTCAGGTTTCTGGTTTGTAGAACTGGCTGGATGATGATATCCTTCACCGATTTAGGGAGCAATGAAAGAGGACCAGGTTTGGAGGGAAAGATAGGAGTTCAATTTTGAATATGTTAAGTTTGAGGTGGTGTGGGGAGGTGCCTAGTGAGATGCTGGAGATACAGATCTGGAGCTCGGAGAAGAAATCAGATCTAGAGACATAATCCTGGGAGTCGTCAACTTACAGATGGTAAATGAAGCCATTGAGAAGATAAAAAGGCCCAGGATAGAGACTTAAGGCTCATTTAGACATCAGGATAATGAGAAGATCCCAAAGGACACTGCAAAGGAGTAGCCAGAGAGGTAGGAGAAAAATAGGAGGGTGTCATACCACAAAAGCCAAGGGAAGAGACTATTTTAAAGAGGAAGAAGTGGTTACGTTACTGTTGAAAAGTAAGATGAGAATTGAAAAACACCCACTGGATTTGGAGACATAGAGGCCTTTTGTGAGCATATTTTTTTTCTCTTTCAAAGGATCTTATCTCCTACTACAAAAAATCTGAATAAAATGGAAAATAAACAAGAAATAGTTCATTTTATCACAAGACTATTTTACACATTGACTTAATTTTTCAAATATTTAATATTTTCAATGTTATTTATTCTTCTTATAAAGAAGTATTGATTTTTAATGATCAGACATCCTGAGTTAAAGTAGTACACAACTGCTTAAATTAATTCCTTTAGTGCTTATCTTGGAGCTTTTATATCACACAAGACTAAGCTCTATGGTTGGATATCAAAAAGGCATGTTTTTTAGGAATGTTAAATCTTTGACCACGGAAGTAATTGTCCATCCATTCTAGGTCCAACACCTCTACACCTGGCCGCGCAGGCTTGCTCATTGGAAACAACCATCTGTCTACTCTGTTTCAAAGCTGATTACACGCTTTCAGAAAAAAGAGGCTGGATGCCAATTCACTTTGCGGCTTTCTATGACAATATCTGCATCATCATTGCTCTCTGTAGGAAGGATCCTAGTTTACTAGAAGCTGAAGCGACAGCTGAGTAAGTTATTAAGCAGTCGTAAAAATATAAATTTCTGCTTTTATGGCTTGCCTCAAACACTGATACTAAAAGGAATGGTTATGACGATTGATTTGAAAGGCTATGTAAGGCTTACTCTGCTGTCCTTTCTGGTCACTATCTTCTTCTCCTACCACTTACCTTTAGAATTTATAAAAATGGGAACTTCTATTAACCTATGCATATTTTCTGGGAGAATAAGGAGTAAGCCCTAGGAAGTTTTTCCTGAACTTTCCCCAATGATATGGTTCTACAGATTAGTTTATCAGGTTAACTACTTAGTGCTCTAAAAGAAGCCTGAGACTAGGGAGGAGAAAGTTGCTCTAAATTGAACCCTGCACAACCAGGAGGCAGTCCAAGGACTCCAGACCAAAGTAGATAGGCCTTAGACACAGGAGAAATATCTAGTGGTAGCCAGAAGAGAAATACATTAAAAAGAAGAAAATAACTTTGCAATAGGAAAACTTCCAAAAGTCTTCTGTTTCACAATTTAGATGAGTACCAACCTTTATGGTGGAGGTATAACTTCTCCCAAGGGCACATTCTTGGCTAGTAATCTAAAGACCAGGTTATTATTTTGAATATCTGAACCTGATTTATCCATAGTTTCATTCAGATATTTCTGAGTCTTCAGGTAACCTGTCTCTTTTTATTCAGTGAAGAAATTAATCCTCCCTCTTGGTTGGGGCAGAGATGTGTGTGGAAAAAGCTTCTGGGAATCCAGGGCCTCTGGCTACTCGATTGTCAAACTAATAGAGTCTGGAAAGAGTCATGGAATGTGGAGACCTGAGTTCAGCTCCTGGTTCTGTCATATTTTGACAATGTGTCTTTGAGCAGAAGGGAGCTAAAAGACTGGGTGGATTATAAAAGGTCAAACAATTAGATATCAGAGGTAGAAGTAAGAAGCTATCTGTGACTTAAAGAAGAAGCCAAGGATTAGTGGAGAAGACAGTTACGAAGGTTGAGATCTATGTGGAGCTAATGAGGAGTGTCACCATGCTGGTGTGTATGAATATGGAGCACAAATGAAAGTATCACAAAGAACTGAGAGATCAGAACACAGACGGTAATTAGCATGACTGCTGAAGTCATTGACAATAGGGGGAGGCATGTTGGTGAGGTGATACATGAGCCAAGATGGTGGAAAAGGACCCAATTGGGAAGGGTGCAATGGCAATATGGAGCTGGGAAGGGTAATATAATTTATTTTACAGCATATTTTTCAAATGAGGAAAATCAGAGTGATGGTGTTAGAAGCAAAAGTAATCTTTATTCCTACCATTGAGTAGGAGAAAGCAAGCAACGGGAGAACAGTCTTGTTAAAGTAAAAAAGGGAGAAAGTGAAGAGATGTTTACTCATAAAGGGCAAGTTTCCCCAGGACCCAGGAAAAAGGGGATAAAGGAGAGGCTTGGGGCCAGCTGGAGAGAGGTGAGACTTCAAGGACAGGCAGCAAGAGAAAGAAGTTTCACAAAGACAGGAAGGCGTGGGTATAAGGATAAAAAAGTAATGTTTGAGGCAATGTGATATGGTGAAAAGAGAAGGAGAGGGAACTATGTATCAGGACTGTGCTAAGCACCTTATTCATCCCTTACACCAACACTGTCAGCTGATTGCTGTTACCCTCATTCTTTTACAGATGAAGAAAGTAACCCAATTTGCTTAAGGTCACATTGCTAGTCAATAGATCTATTAGTTAAGATACAGGTGAAGCTGCTGTGACAAAGATACCCCCAAATATTTGCAGTTTAAAGAAGATAAACATGTTATTTTTCATGAAATCTGGGTTGGTGGTCAAGGGTTGGCATAATGGCTTGACAATATCAGGGACCCAGACTTCCTTTTCTTGCTTCTTCACACGTGGTTTCCATATCCTGGTACAAAATGGCAACTCCTGCTGTCATTATGCCTGCTTTCCAACCATGAGAAGAGAGAGAGAGGAAAAGTAATGGCATACACCTTTTCTCTTTAGGGAGTTGCCAGGTAACTTCTACTAACATCACATTGGCCAAACTTAGTCGTGTGGCCATACCTATCTATAAGGGAAGCTGGGAAATGTAATATTTGGCTGGATAGCCATGTGCCCAACCAAAAGATCTTCACTATCTAAAAAGCAGATAGTGGGTTTTTGAGAAAAACTGTTAGTTTCTGCCATGATAAGGAAGCTGGGATTTGAGAACTGAACATGAAGTATAAAGAAATGGATTGGAACACTACCTGAGCCTCAGTTTCATCATTTGTAAAATGGGCTGATAATACTTGCCTTGCCTTTTCCTTCACTCATAGAGTAGTTGTAGAGGAGATAGAGGAGTTCTTATTCTAAGAACTTCGTGCATTATCAACTTCTGAACAAATTATAAGGCATGATAATTAAGTTGGGAGGGAGGGTAAGGACAGCCAAGGCAAGGGAGGCCAATCTGCTGACATGTGGAATGTACAGAACAATAACACGTAAGGAGGAGAAGGTGAGGGTACAAATCAGACTTCCTCCAACAGCAATTTGGGTAGTTTTACAAAAAGCAACTCTGACACTATGTGTGTGCTCTTATTATAACATGTTCCTTGATTTTTAGGAATCAGTGTACTCCACTCTTACTCGCTGCCACTTCAGGAGCACTGGACACTATCCAGTACCTATTTTCTCTGGGTGCTAACTGGAGAAAAACAGACATTAAAGGAAATAATATAATTCATTTATCAGTGCTAACCTTTCACACAGAGGTCCTCAAGCATATAATAGAGTTAAATATTCCTGAACTCCCAGTTTGGAAAACTTTGGTTGGTGAGTATAGAACACATAATCTCATTATAAATAAATGATCTGATTAGTATTCAGTTTAATTATTGATACTTACTCTGAAACAGAGCAAATAAAATAATGCATGCATATATATATATATATTTTTATAATTTTATTTATTTATTTTTACCCCAAAGCCCCAGTAGATAGTTGTATGTCATAGCTGCACATCCTTCCAGTCGCTGTATGTGGGACGCGGCCCCAGCATGGCCGGAGAAGCGGTGCGTCGGTGCGCGCCCGGGATCCGAACCCGGGCCGCCAGCAGCGGAGCACGAGCACTCAACCGCTAAGCCACGGGGCCGGCCCCTGCATGCATATATTTTAAACATTTAAAAATCATGAAATAAACATTTTTGAGTTAAAACTAGAAATGCAAATCATACTGAAGTATTTTTGTGTGTGCAAAAACAGTTTTATTTCTAAATTAAAATAAAAGAATAATAACCAAAACAGACTATATTTTACACAATTATATTTATTTTTATTTTCCAACTTTCTCCAGAAGGAAATTAAAATTTGAATGGAAAAGACTCCCTCCAATTTATTCCTCACCTCCTAATTTTAGAGACAGATTCAGCAACATCTTTCCTCATATTTTGATAAATATTTTGTGAAAAATTCTCTTCGAGATTTTTTTCCAAATTTGTATTCAATCTAGACAGAAATATGATAAAAGTAAGGGTTACTAGGAAAATTGAACGTACACATCTCATTTTGCTCCCTCCCAAGACCCCACAAGAATTACATAGAGATTAAACAATAACAACGCCAGCAGCAAACAAGCATTCAAGAGAAAACAGGAAAGGATACAACAGTGATGCAACGTTGGAAACAGATAGGCAAGTCTTAGAACTTAGCAGACAGGAGAAATCATTCCAAGCCAACAGTGGGAAAGCTGAGAACCTCTCCGACTCACACCATAAATCCTCAGTAGACTCAAGAACTGGCTGTGCCAGTGAAGCCTACTCTCTGCAGAGGCTAACCAGGAAGGACTTGAAGATGCTAACGGGAGAATTCTCCCCAACAAAACAGCAAACTGGGAGTCTGACCCAAGAGAAAAGCAAAGGGAATTTCAAAGATGATAGCAAAGGGAAGCCCCAGAACAGAAACTGTGTACCCAGGCCAAAGGGAAAATATGGGAGGAATTACCCATAGGTACAAAGAAAACTAAGCAAATGAAATAAAATGAGGCAATTATTGCCTCCAGGAAAAACAAAGAAAGGAGATGCAACTATAGTACACTACAGTGCTTAGCTGTGAATAATATCTGTATAGGCATTGTAATTAAGTATTGAATATTCAGTTAACTAAAAACTATAAATATGGGGAAGGGGAAGCAGAGAAAATGGCAGAGCAGTGTTGAAAGAGCTACTTTCTCATTTAGCACAACATGAAGTCATAATCGATGATGTCTAAAAGCGATATAGCAAAAGGTAACGGTATATAAATATTGAGAAATATGGAGATATGTAAATCACAGAAGGTCTAGGGAAGGAGTCCAAAGTGGTTATACCTGGAGAGAGGAATCAGAAAAGTGGAGAGGATGGGGCAAAGAATCACTATATTTTGCTGTAGGCCTTTTAGTAACATTTAACTCTGAATCATGACCATGTACTACTTTAATGAAATAAAAACTAAAGCAAAAAAGGAAACAAATTGGAGAATGAGAACTGATATTTTTCCCAACAACTCATTTGGGATGGAATAAGATATATTTAAGATTTTCAAAGTAGAATGGTCTACTGATTCAAGAAGTCTGAATAACTGGTTTCAAAACTGGCTCAGTAACTGATTCCCAGAACATCAGGGTACCAGGAACACATTCCCAGAACATCAGCCCTAAGAGATACTGGAAAGTGTTTTCAATGTTTATTTGTGTACATATATATCATTATATCTTAGTCTTTTTAGGAGGAACTAAGACGACCATCCTGTTAGTTTTAATGGAGTAACATATGTGAAATACCTTAATAATAGGAAGCTCCACCCTCTAACGGGAATAGCCTAATGGCACAAAAAATTCCTGACAGCCACTCCTTCCTACAGCCATTGTTGGGAAGTCCTGATAACGACACAACACAGCAATGACCAGTGAGCATCTGGCCACTGCTTCTTTGCTTTGGGCCCTGGAATAGCTCTCCCTCCTCACACTGCCCATTTCCACCATGAGCAAAAGAAGAATTAGAATTTATTAGAAGTCTGTAGGATTAGCTCTTGGAGTGGAAGTTGAATTTTAAGAGAGAGCACCATGGAGTGATCTAGCCAAGGTTGGAGTTAGAACCAGATTTGTTATTATAGGGGCTGGGTGAAAAAAGATGAGGAAAGGCTACTTCTACATGGTTTTTCTTGCACCATAGACATTGTTTAGAAGCAGATATATTTGTATTGTCTCCTGTCTGGAGTATAAGTTCATTCAAGATTTTTTAAAAAGTATCCTCTTCACACGCAGGAAACGTATAAAGCCTCATATATGATTTAATGGATATTAACTTTTTATTGACAATAATGTAGTTTACTTTGCCATCCTTGAAAACTCATATTCAAATTTTGTTCAACAACTGATTTCAGGCAAGAGAGAGGTGTACCATTTTCCAAGAGAATTTGAACCATGTAACCAGGCAATCTAAGTCATTCAGATCAAAGATAAAGAATTTCAGGATTTTTTATACTCATTATATAGATTATAAACCTCAAAATCATGGGTGTATGCAATCTTTTCAAGCCCCTCACATGCACAGAGGGGAATTTAATGAATGTGGTTTGTGGTGATGGTGGTGATTCAACTCATGGCTTCGCTTGGCTTGTACAGAAAGAGAATCAATCATTCCATTTCCTCTTGTGAAATTACATGTATTTTTCTGTTGAATACTTACCAGAAATGTTGCAGTGCGAAAGCTATAAACGAAGGATGATGGCTGTCATGTCCTTAGAAGTAATTTGCTTAGCAAACGATGGATACTGGAAATATATTTTGGATGCTGGTGATGTAAAATCTATTAACTATCTTTTGCTTATACTGTTTTATATAGAGCTATATTATATTCAGTCAATCACTTTAAAATGTATTTTTAATTGTGAAGGACACTTTCTAGTTGATTTTAAGTTTCTAGTTTTCATTTTTCTAAGATCACTTCCTTTACCTGTCAACCTTATATTTTATTTTCCATATGAAAGCTACACATCAAAAAACTAAATCCCATTTCTCTAAAAGTTTGCAAACTTAAAGATGATACTAAATTACTTTGCCATACTACCTCTTATATTTACTTTTACTTAGAAATTATCCCTATTCTGTATTTGCACAATTTAATTTATTAACGATAGCAGTTACAGTGTCAGGCCTGGGCTTGTAACTAGCTCTGTATTTAGAACTTAGGCTGATTGCTTACCCTCTGTAAGCCTAACTTTCTCATTAATAAAATGGTTCCTACCTCATAGGGTTGTTTTGAGAACAGCACCGTCCAATATAACTTTCTGAAATGATGGAAATGTTCTGTCTGCACTGTCCATTATGGTAGCCACTACTCTAATGTGAATATTGGGCACATATGAGATGCTTCATAAATATTTGTTGAATGAATAGATGAATGAATGAAAAAATTATTATAGGTAGTCCCCTAAGGTGTTCTTAAAAACACGTACGAAAGCTCTTTGTCCAAAAAGTGAACCAAACAAGTCATGAGGAAGGTTTCATTCCGGGTAGCTACATACATACATATATACATACATACATACCTCCCTCCCTCCCTAATTATACCCATAACATTTCCCAGCATTTTGTGTGTGCTCTATATTGTGCTCTTTTCTTTCACATTGAACTGATGTAAGTGTAACAAGCATCCAGCTGAAGCCAGATTTTCTATTTTCACCATGCCCAATGATTTCCATCTTTGAATCAATTGTAATTAATGAGGCGAAGATTGCTTTTTACAAGAATCAGCACTTTTTGTTTTTCAGTTGCTTGTATAAAATATGGGTAAAATATTAGAAAATGTTCAAATAATTTCACAAACACTGCCACACAAATTTGATGCAATAACCAAAACTGAACTCGACCATATGGTTGCTCAAAGAATTTATTTATCAATGATGTTAAGCCAAAATTCAGTGTTTTCAAAGGTGCCTTAGTGTTAGCAATATGAAATGTATGAATGTGTGTTGTGTGAAAATCAAATGAGTGAACAATGAGAGCTGCCTATACTGTAGACAAGACAGAAAAGTGCATTCATGTAGTTTCAAATGATAATTTTATAAATATTTTATAGAATCATTTGCTAATTGTTTATATGGCACTGCCCATGAACATTATTTAAATTTTATCATGATAAATTGACTACAAATGTTACAAATAATTCATGCATTTTCTTGGTTTCTTCACTGCAGGCACCATTCCTGCTTTAATCAATCTATTAAAAGGTTCCGAAATAGAATTACAGTGCAAAACAGTTGGGTTATTGAGTAATATCTCAACCCATGTGAGTGTAGTGCATGCTGTAGTAGAGGCAGGAGGCATTCCAGTTCTGATCAACCTACTGGTTTCTGATGAACCTGAACTTCACTCTCGCTGTGCTGTCATTCTATATGATATTGCTCAACTTGAAAACAAGGATGTTATTGCCAAATATGTAAGTTCTTTTCAAAGAACATCATTTTGACTGACAGTCATTCCCTTATATAGAAGCTAGAAAGATACATACCCATGTTATTATGCAGTGGCAAAACTCTCAGAGAAGAACTCCAATCTCAATGAGGATGGCAAAGAGCAAACCTGCCACAATCCCATAAGTGCTAAAAGTAAACAAGAGCAAGACAATACAGAGCAAGCACAGCAAAGGCGTGAGCTTCAGCAGAGTTTCCAGCTCCCCATCCCCAAGTCTCACAAGTGACACAGTGGGCCCAGATGGATGCTACTTGCACACTGGGTTTGTGTCATATCTGAGGAACCTTGAGCTTAAGAAACCTATTACTTTGGTAGCAACCAGTAAGCAAGCCTGTTCTTTGTCTGGAAGGAGACGTAACCACACCTCTCAAGATTGCTAGCTACATAAAAATCCTGAGGAATGGCTCAGGTGAACGAGTTGTTACAATCTTGATGCACTCACAGTACAGGTAGGAGTGCAAGAGACCCAGGGAGGACTGTTTCTCAACAAAAATATCTGGTAAAACTGTCACCTGGGATAACGTGGAAGGCAGGCCAAGTGCCCACTTAGCTCTAGAGGATGTGGTTGCTTCTTGCTATTTAGGAGAAGAAAGTACAAGAAACCCTACCATTTTGGCTATTTCCCTTCTGGCTGGGAAATGTCGTCTAATTGTGTAGCAGAAAGAATTAGAAGAAAATTATTTTTTGTGAACACTAAGAAATCTTTGCTATGCTGTATTTCCTCACATAAAACCCACCTTATTATGTCTGCTAATGTTTTATATTTAAGATCTTTTAATATATTTTATAGGTAAGATTATTTTTATAGTCTTCTTCAGGTGACACTTCTTCATTATGGATTGAGTCATTTAGCCCGATAAAATGTACCGTTTTTGTCAAGTGTAATACGTTTGCCCTGAATTCTAGCTTGTCCAAAATTATGTTTGTGATCTCTGTTTCCTTTGTGCTATCATGTTTAATTTGGCTTTGCCCATCCTTTTCTTTTTAACTTTTCTGAGTCATTTTATTTCTTGTTGGTGGGTCAACATTTGGAAACTATATTAGAAATATAGACACCCCCAGGCCCACCTCCAGAGTTAGTTAGTCTAAGTCATTTAGACCTTATAATCTCCAATGATTCTGATAATTACCCTGAGTTAGGATAAATGTGTCCCTTGTATGCAGTATATTTAGGTTTTGCTTTGTCATTCACTTTTCATTGAGTATAGTTCATTGACCTTTATTGATGTGACATGTTTAATCCTAGTTCTGTCATATTTATTTATTTAATATTTACTTGATCTTCTACTGTATGATCAGTGTTTTCTTTCTCTTTTTTTCTTTATCTTTAAAGTCTGGGACTTACACATCAATGTTATTTACCTATTTTTCCTGAGAACTGGTGTAACTTTTCAACATGCACATTCATCTTCTTTTATTTTTGGAATGTTTTCTTGAATTCATATCTTTAAATATTTTTTTCTCTAGTATTCTTTCAGTTCATTCATACCAGTACTTTTTGAGAGTTTATCATATGGCAGGTACTATTCTAGATTCTGGGGTTATAGCAGTGAACAAAACAGCCCAAATCCCAGCCTTCATGGAGGTTTTATTCTAGTTAGGGATAACAAGACAATAAACAAGGCAAATAAGCCAAGTATATAGTAGGTTAGATGCGAATAGGTGTTAGGGAGGATAATAAAGCAGGGAAAGGGGAGAGGGGGAGCTTGGTGAAAAATATTTCACTAAGAAGTTGGCATTTGAGTAGAGACCTAAAGTAGATGAGGAAGTGTGCCATGTTCTTCTGTTTCAAAGAGCATTCTAGGCAGACAAAATGAAGTAAATGAAAGTAAAAAAGTAAATGTAGTGGGAGTGTGCCTGGCATGTTCAAGGAATAGCAAGAAAGCAAAGGTAGCTAAGAAGAGAGAAACAGGAAACATTTCTAGCTGAGTAATGGTGGACCACATCATGTAGAGCCATGTGAGCAATTGTTAGACACCTTGGCTTTTACTTTGAGTATGTTAAGCTAGTGAATGATTTTGTTCTAGGAAGTTCCATGAAGAAATTTACATCACTCTACCTTCTATGTTGAAATAGGCAGGCAAGGGTGGATGCAGCGAGACCAATAAAGAAGCTAATGCAATAATCCAGGTGACAGACAGTGGTGTCTTGAACCAGGGTGGCAATAGTGGAAGTGGTGAGAAGTGATCATATTCTGTATTACTTTTTGAAAATTGAGCCACCAGAATCTGTGGGAAAGTTGAAAGATCTGGAGGGAACTCAAAGGAGACTAAGAAGGAATGGCCAGTGAGGTAGGAGGAAACCTTAAGAATCTGTTGTGCTATCAGCCTAATGAAGAAAGTGTTTCAAAGAGGAGAGAACGATCAAAGAGGAGAATAGTGTCAAATGCTATTGTAAGATCAAAGTCAAAAATTGACCACTGAATTTATTGACCATTGAATTCAGTGATCAGTGACCACTTCTCTTTAGGAATGCCAATTATTTGTGTATTGTATCACCTTTTCCTTTCTCATCTATCTATCATTTTCTCTCTAGTCCTTTTCCACTCATTGGTTCACTTTATTTCACTTTTTCTCAATCCCCTCCTCCTTGTCCCTTGCTACATTTTTTAGCATTGTTTATTTTTGTGTGGATTACAATTTGGCTTTTGTATCTCTCCACATTTTTCCTGAGCTTTTCTCGCACTTGTTTTATCCTCCCTCGTCTCAAAAAATATTCCCTGAGCGCTGGTGTCTCTCCTGTGCTCTCTTGTTTTATAGAGGTGATTACTTCATTAATTTTTTTCATTGATAATAATATACCTCTTTTGGTTACAATTTTCACCTACTTTGTGGCAGTGTTTTTCTGATGAGCATATGTCATTTGTCATAAGTTTTTCCTATTTTTTTTCTTATAATATATTTGGATAGATCCTACTTTAGTTCCTTTTTGACCATTATTCATCTTTGAATTAGGGGAGTTCTTTCTGGTCCAGCTATTTGTAGGAAGTGTATGTGGGAAGGGGCCCAGATCCATGTTCTGAGCTAGCAAGAATACGACTTATGCCACATGGTTGTATGTATAGGTCCTTTCAGCTTTACTTTTCCCTAGCCAACAGAGACTGGTGCATAGTACCTCACAGTGTAGATTCTATTTCCTCCACAGTGTGAAGCCCATGTCTTCCTTTTTACCTCACGAATAGACTACTTCTTCCAAACATATCTTGTTGGTATGATTCCTTATTCATCTTTGCCTTCCTTAACTTTTGAAATTTATGCCAGATTGGTCCAGGAAACAGCCTGCTGCCATCCTGCGTACCCATTTCTATTGTTCCAGACAGGGAATTGTGTGTTTCTTTTTCCGCTCCTCAAGGTGGAGCCACTTATTTTGGAAAACTGTGCTCTGCCAGCATTTCCTGTGGCCAGTGGCCATGGGAGATCTCTCTCATCTCTGCTTGAAACTCATACACCTTTATTACGGTTCAACATTACAGATGTCTCCTAGCTTTATTGAAAATAAGGTTACATTTCTGTTTCTGTTTCTTATCTTCCTTAATACTCTTGCATTATTTCTGTTAGTAGGGAGAAATGTCATCTTTGCTCTATTTAAAATTACAAAATTATTTGTTGTTAGTGCCATGGAGTGGATTCTGACTCCTAGTGACCCTGCGTACAATGGAGCGGAACCCTGCCCTGTCTTTTGCGCCATCCTTTCCCCTTCTGGCGCTATATCAGACAATGCTCTGCTGCTATTCACAGCGTTTTCATGGCCAGTTTTTTCAGAAATGGGTGACCAGATCCCTCTTCCTAGTCTGTCTGAGTCTGGAAGTTCTGCTGAAACCTGTCCACCACGGGTGACCCTGCTGGTATTTGACATACTGGTGGCACAGCTTTCAGCATCACAGCAACACACAGCTGCCACAGTGTGACAACACACAGACTGATGATGTGGTTTCCTGCCCAGGAAATGAACCCGGGCCGAGGCAGTAACAGCACTGAATCTTAACCTCTAGACCACCAGGGTTGGCTGGAAATTATATTCACATTTAAAAATAATATTTTGTGTTGCACAAATATAATTACCAATTACCACTGCAATGTCTACAATGGCAAATATTTCCAAGTGGGCACTGTGTTCAATTGATCTTACTCAGCTGCTTCCCTTTTTAGGTATTTATTAAATGTTACAATGAACTTGCAGCCTCAATTTATTTTGGTATAGAAGAGGCTATTTTAAAATATATTTATAGGATACTTACTTTAATATTAAAGCATAAGATATGCTCAAAGTTGTATTAGCTGTCATTTAATGTGCCATATCAGTAGACACATTTGTTTGTGGGCAATCATTCTCTCCTAAATAAGCAGATATTTACAGTAAGAAAGATTACAGACTTGTGTTTTTAAAAATAATTGCATACATCTTAAATAAATTCAATTGTAATTGATTTTTTTGTTTATTTTTAGAATGGAATCCCAGCTCTAATAAATCTCTTACAGTTAAACATAGAAAATGTGCTAGTCAATGTAATGAACTGTATACGAGTATTATGTATGGGAAATGAAAGCAATCAAAGAGCAGTGAGAGACCATAAAGGCATCCAATATCTTATCACATTTCTCAGTTCTGATTCAGGTGAGGCTCTGTTTCTATATTAGTTTAAAGTGACCAGATATATTAAGTGAAGCAAACACAGGTTTGGACTCATCCTAGATGAACAGATGTCCTGGATTTATCTTAGAACGGATCTAGACACATGTAATATAACCTAAAAACCTGGAATACTTAAATTTAAACTGCTGGGTTTATAAAAGGAATCGACGCTCAAAGCCCTAGTTTTTGAAGAATGTTTAATTAGACATTTTTATAATGGAAATATTGGCATGAATAATGAAAATAACGCAGTCAATATGCCCAGGGACTCAAGTAGATGTCTCCTTGTGTGAATAAAACACATATTGATCATTGGAAGTTATTTTTCAAGTTACAGCATTGACTTCAGATTTGCTGTTAGATATTTGATACCAAAATTCAAGGTCATCAGGTCATTAGGGTAATTATCAGACTCTGAAGTGCATATCAGTACCAAGCACACCAGAAGCTCTGAGGTAGTTTCTGCAGCCACTGCAAATGGTCTGTTAGGTTCTGTAAGAATTATCTCATTCCAGGGAGTGTACACATAACAATGTAAGCTTCAAATCTATGGTTTTCCCCAAATTTGGGGGAGATAAAAAATTGGAGAAAAGCTTGTCTGTTTTTCTTCCTGCTCAGTTTATCATCTGTTTTTCTGTTCTAATTCTCTAGGAATATATACAGAATAAACATGTTGGTTAAAATCTAAGACAAGGTTATGGATAAGAGATTGTTGCAGAGGGCATTCTTTTACTGTAGAACTTCAAATTTAAGCATTTTCTAAGAACCTCTATCATGTAGTGAAATCATTTGAAAGTCCTTTCCCTTCATTACAAATTCCTAAGGTCATCTGGTCTAAGTTTCCCTCCATCACTAACTCTGCTCTACCTTGATCATTTAAGAACAGCATTAGAGAGAGCCAACTTGTATGCATATTTTAACCATAGAATTTTTACTTATTTACAGTTGTTCTTTATTCTTTGTGTTTTATCTTCTTAATTAAAATTTAAAAAGACAGGGACTAGGTCTATTTGTCATCCTCCCAACCTCAGATGCTTGAACAGAGCACAAATTATAGAGGCAATTCGAATAAATAAACAATAAATGAATTCATGAAAGAAAGCTACAGAAATAAATTATTGGAATCATTTCTTTTTTGGGCTCTTGCCTTATCTGAAACCTACATTAAAGTGATTTATCCTATATTGTAATCTATATCATCTCCTTACTCCAAGGAAGATAAAGAACTTAATTTTCAAAAAAATTTTAATTATTTTTTCTCTCCATTTATAATTTATAAATGCTACATTTATAATTTTAGTGCTTTAACAAATAATTCTCATGGATGTTAGCTGGGCTTTTAAGTTGTAGAGCATCACAAAGGAATTTTATTTATTCCAACATCTTCCTAACCATTCTATAAGATTTTATACATTAAGGTAAAATGGCCCCAAAGTAGATTCACATGTAGTTTCTTGAGACTATAGATTTGTTAACATCTCAGTCTTAACCTCTGTCTCCAGGGGTTCCTCAACCTTTGCTGTGTTTGGTTGGTTTTAGGCCTTTGCTTCATCCATCTTTAGCTGCCTGTTTTATACTCTTCTACAAATGTATGCCCATGCATGCATGTTTTCATTCCTACAGTGCTTCTGATTTCATCTTTTTCTACGGCACACAATTGTCCTGGTTTGTGTTATTAACAAAAGTTTATATGACATCACTATGGAAATTCAAATATGTAACAGAAAGCATACAAAATGCTTTTCAGCTCCAAACTGAGCAAAACTTAAAAAGCACGTCATCCTTCTTAGAATGATTATTCACACATTTCACTGAAGAAATGTGTTTTCCCCAGACTCCCTGGGATGTTGTGTAATATACAGTATATGTACGCATTACCTTCTAAAATCTGAAAACTTTGGAATTCTGATCCCAAGAGTTTTAGACTAAAGACTACCTCCATCATTAGGCTTATTCTCTCCAACTCTTCAAGTTGGAGCTCCTTGAGCTTCTATTCTCGGTCTGCTGCTTGTTTTTGACACAGCACGCTCTACTTAAGCAGTCTTATTTACTCTTGAGAACTTTGTTATGCTTGTAATCTATTCTTCCCAGCTCTCTCTCCAAATCCCTGACCTCTCCTCTGAGCTTTAGCACTAGTTTGGATTATTGAGGTACTGTGAAGGCAGCCCTCTCCCTTTAGAATTTAGATCCAATTGATAAATAGACACAGAAATCAAATAGAGGTTGAAACTTCAGCTTTATTGCTGGAAAGCTTGGTTTAAGAAAACAGCAAAAAGATAGTGCCAAAAAGAACCTAAACTATGCATTTGCAGCCTCACTCTTCAAACTAAGAAATTATGTAACTCACTATTCCTTTTATGGGAAGAATGAATAACATTCCTGAGTGGGAGATGAGAGCAGGAATTGCTACTTTTTGGACTGATGCAGGAATATGGGGTAAAAGAAAGAACGGCTCCCGCAACACTCTTAATTTTGTTAACCTATTGTGCTTAACAGCATTCCCAGTATTACTAGAGTGATCAATCTAAAATGCAAAGTTGACCATATCTTTCCCCTCCTTTAAATTATTCAGTGGCTCTTTGTCCCCTAGGATAAAGTTCATATTTCTATCATAGCCTATAAGCGCTGCTAACCTTCATACCGCAAAAGGAAATGACCTTCCTATCACGTCCTATCACTCCCTTCCTCTCTCATTTTACTCTCAGGTAACACTGAACTTATTGCTATTTCGTACTTCTGGCCTTTGAGCTTGTTCCACAAGGTCAAGAACTTTGTTTTGTTGGTTCATCACTCTTTCTCAGTGCCTACGACAGTGCCTGGCATGTAGTAGCTACTCAATAAAATGTTTGCTGAATAAATAAATGATTGAATGAGGATAATATTCACAACAAAAAAGTTAATATATTTAATATAAAGTGTATATGGATTGGTATGAACAATAAGGCCTTAACAGAGAGATAATTAACCTGGATAGATAGTCTATGAAAAAACAAATGCTAGATTTAGAGAGTCTGGCTGCTTGAATCTAAAAACACCTTTTTGCACAGTTTTGACTTTTGGAAACATATTGCCGTCTTACATATTAAAAAAGAAATTAATTAAATCTGCAAGGTACAAGGGGGATATTAAAAAATACAAACAGAAACAAATAAACCCAATTGTATTTCAAATGCCTTACTAACTAGATTTTTAAAAAAATGAATACAAGTATCTTTTGAACACAGTGCTTTACTATGTAGCCTCGGTCTAGGGGAGGAAAAAAACTGCAAACATATCTTGAATTCTTCTTAGTGGATTTGTATTTCATAGTGATATGGGTGAAACAGCTCTAAACCTGTTTTATAAGTATTACAGGACTGAACAAATAAACAATGTGTTGATATTATTGGGTTCTCACTGTGAAAAGAAATACACAGAATGTGGGAAGGCAATCAAGAATCCTGTGGGGTTGGACTGGAATTGGAAAATTGGAAATATATATATTTTCCTAGTCTTGTCTGTTAAGAGAGTCTAGAAGCAATGATACTCCACTCCAGTAGCACTGAACATACGTAGTATCCAAGTCACAATTTCTAAATACCATTCCTCATTAAAAGGAACCAGAGCTTCTTGGAGAAATGGTTGATTCCAGAGCTGGGCAAAGCAGGTCTGGTGAGTCTGAAACATCATATTGTGACAGAAAGTAAGGAAATGCTAAAAAAAAACCTTATGGAGGTATATCTAAAGGACACAGGGGCCAACTTGAAGGGGCTCCCACTGGCCCTTCAAGTTGGACAGTCTTGGACAATTGCCAAATCTTGGACAATTTGAGTATCAACACAAATAAGGAAATTAATGGATTATAACTCATTGAACAAAATAGAAATCCAAGAGCTCATCTTGATGATAATTGGATAAACAAGAAAATAAATAAATAGGGAAGTAGGGAGAGCTCTTCTTTATAGTAGAATGCCAACTGATAAATGTGAAGGGAGTGGTAGATTAGGAAAATTAATATTTTGCAAACATCATAGTAAAGATTGGTTAGAGCAAAAATCATCAATTGTTGATAAATCTTAGAGAAGTTCTCTAACTTATTTTTGCAACTTTTCTGTAAGTTTTAAGGAGAACAAATGCAACTCGTTAATAAGCATATATGAAAATGTTTAGACTCACCAGTAACCCAAAATACAAAATAAAATGAGACAGCCCTTTTTGCCTATCAAATTAGCAAAATTTATTTATGTATTTATTCTTAATGAAAATATTTATACTTAAAAAGATACAGTAACACTGATACCTCTCATACTCTGATTATGGAAGGGTAAGATGCTATTGTCATTTTTGAAATGCAATTTACTGGGATGTATTGTTATTCCAGTAATTCCTGGGACTCTATACTAAGGGAAAAAAAAATACAGACAGGAAGGAAATCACCTTATGTGCCAAGATTTCTCCTAAGCATTGTTTAAAACAGTGAAAAGTTCAGAAACAACATATATTTTTAAAAATGTGAATGGCTAAGAAAATGTGATACACCCTTTAATGGAATACTTAGGAGACAGTGATGTTCATAAAAAATGGGAAAGTGTTTTACAGGTAAATTGAAATGCAGGATATTGTGTTTATAGTACTATACTAAATATGTCTATAACATTATCTAAATCTATCTATATTCATAAAAAATAGTGGGTGAGATTAAATGAAATGTTTGATTGTGTTTGAGTGGTGAGATCTGGACAATTTCATTTCTTTTTTCCATATTTTCTAAATTTTCTATAAACTGTAAATTTGATTTTATAATATGGGAAACTAATGATATGCTGCATTTTTATAGTCTTACTTTTTAAAGATGTATTTAACTGGTTCTTGAATTCATTTGAAGATGTGCTGAAGGCTGTATCTTCTGCTACAATTGCTGAGGTTGCACGTGACAATAAGGATGTGCAGGATGCTATGGCTGCCGAAGGAGCCATTCCTCCTCTGGTGGCTCTTTTCAAAGGGAAACAACTTAGTGTCCAAATGAAGGGTGCAATGGCTGTGGAATCACTGGCAAGTCGCAACCCTTCTATCCAGAGAGCATTTCTGGAAAAATCATTATGTAAATATCTTTTAAAACTCCTCAAGGTAGGAATGTTATGGTTACTTGCCATTTTTCTTACACAAGGTATTCAATATTGAATTTAGTTAAGTGAAAAGAAAACTAAAAATTTTATAAAACATACATTCCACAGTGTTCAATAAACACTCATTGAATGAATGGGATATATTTCTTAAATAGGCATTTCAAATAGATGTGAAGGAACAAGGAGCTGTAGCACTTTGGGCCTTGGCAGGACAAACACTGAAACAACAAAAGTATATGGCAGAACAGATTGGATACAACTTTATAATAAATATGCTTTTGTCACCATCAGCTAAAATGCAGTATGTTGGTAAGTTATTTTCTATGCATAAATCTGCACAGAAATGTAGAACAGGACATCGGAGTATCAGACTAGTTTCTTGCTTTTCTTTACCAGGGGGTGAAGCAGTCATAGCTCTAAGTAAGGACAGCAGGATGCATCAAAATCAAATATGTGAAGGGAATGGAATTGCACCATTGGTTCGCTTACTAAGGATGAGTAAGATAGCTGAAGGCACACTTCTGAGTGTCATCAGAGCAGTGGGATCCATTTGTATTGGTTTGTAAATTTATTCTCAATTTTTTAAAATATCAATAAGATATTTCTCTTCCTATCTGTACTGTTAGAGCCCTAAACCATATTTAATCTATAAAGGTGATAATAATTTTTTTTATTTCTCCAAGACCTTAATGAGTAAAAGTGGTGTAATTAAGAATTTTATATCAGGGGCCGGCCCAGTAGCGTAGCAGTTAAGTTTGCACGTTCCGCTTTGGCAGCCCAGGGCTCACTGGTTTGGATCTTGTGCACAGACCCACTCACCACTCATCAAGCCATGCTGAGGCGTCGTCCCATATAGAAGAGCTACAACTCTACAACTATGATATACAACTATGTACTGGGGCTTTGGGGAGAAAAGAGAAAAAAGAGGGAGATTGGCAACAGATGTTAGCCCAGGGTCAATCTTCCTCACAAAAAAGAAAAAGAATTTTGTATCAGTCTTCCTCTTGAACTCTAGTTAGAAAGAGAAATGAGCCTTGGCTATTTTTACTTAAAGGACAATGAGCCTTGGCTATTTTTACGTAAAGGATTTTACTTAAAATCTCATTTTTTAAGTTTAAGAGAAAAAATATTTCTTTTAAATCTCAAGAATGGTATGTTGTTGAACATGTAGAAGAGTTTCTAATGCTGGGGGACTTTTTTTTCACTCCAGTTTCTTTCCATAATGATTCTTTGTTTATAAAGTGACCACTAGGTCTAGTTGTTCCTTTCATTGTAAAGGAATTAACATTTTGGGATATCTGAAAAATGTGGAATTGTCAGTGATTGACTTACCAAAAATAAAAGTGTGTGTTCTTTGCTGACCTTCATGAATGTATAGGGCTGATTGTGGACTGCTTCTTACAGACAAGAGAAAAAAAAAAATCTTTATTTCTAGCTCATTATATTTTCTCAAAAAACAGTCTAGCTGGATGAAGAATGTAGGAATTTGTTCCAAAAAAATTTTTTTTCCTCCTTGCTTGAAAAAGCTACTTTGCAGAAATTCATTAACTGCTCCAAGGCAATCAGACAGACAAGATAATGTTTCTTTTTTTAAGCCAGAGATTATGGTATAAATTTTAGGTATTTCTATAATTCTAGTAAATGATAACATATATACAAAGATACCTGATATATGTGTGTATGTGTGTGTGTGTATTCAATTTCTTCTCATTAGTTCACTCAAAGCTGTCCACATTTGCCACAGACAAGGGGTTCTCTGGTAGAGCTACAGAAGAAAACTCTTGCTTTCAAACTCACCAGCTTAGACTCGCTGCACAAACACATACCTCTTCCTTTTTCTTCCCCATCATGTTCATGTTTTCATCTGCATCCTTGAACATATGAGCATATTTAAAATAGCTGTTTTACCATTCCTGTAGCTAGTTCCACCACGTCTGTCATTTCTGGGTCTCTTTCTATTGGTTGTTTCTTTTCCTGATTATTAACCATATTTTCTGCTTCTTTGCATGCCTAGAATTTTTTAAATGTGGGGTATTTTTTTTCATTTTATTGAAATATAATTTACAAACAATAAAATATTTAAATAAAATATACAATAGAATAAAATATAAAAATACAAAGTGTAAATTTGATGAGTTTTGACATATGTATTCAGCTGTGACACCATAATCACAATAAAAAAATGAATATAATTATCACCCCCAAAAGTTTCATTGTGTCCTTTTGTAATCCCTCCTTCTTTGCACCCCCATCCCCAGATAACCACTGATGTTTTCCATCACTATAGATTACCTGCATTTTCTAGAATTTTAAGTAAATGGAATTATACCAATGTACTATTTTTCTTCTGTCACTCAGCATAGTTATTTTGATATTCATCCATATTATTGTGTGTATCAATAGTTCACTTTTTGTTTTTTGCCGAGGAACATTAGCCCTGAGCTAATATCTGTTGCCAATCCTCCTCTTCTTGCTGAGGAAGATTGGCCCTGGGCTAACATCCGTGCCCATCTTCCTCTACTTTATATGTGGGATGCCTGCCACAGCATGGCTTGATAAGCGGTGGATAGGAACCTGCAAACCCCAGGCCGCTGAAGTGGAACGCGCGAACTTAACCACCACGCCACTGGGCCAGCCCCAAGTTCCCTCCTTTTTTAAATGCTGAATAGTATTCCATTGTATGGTGTGATGGTTAATTTTATGCCTTATAATATACATACATACATACATACATACATACATACATAGGTATCCTGTTGGTTCTGTTTCTCTGGAAAACCCTAAGACATATGGATATATATGATTTGTTTATCCGTGCACCCATTGATGGACATTTAGATTGTTTCCAGTTTCTTGCTATTATAAATAAAACTGTTATGAACATTTGAGTACAAATCCTTGTATATACACGTTTTTATTTCTCTTGGGTAAATACCTAGAAGTAGGATTGCTGGGTCATGTGGTAGATGTATGTTTAACTTTTAAAGAAACTGCCAGACTGTTTTTCAAAGTAGTGAGTGGTACCACTTTGCATTCCTACCACCAGTGTATGAGAGTTCCAGTGGCTTCACATCCTCACCAACACTTACTACGGGAATTTTAGCCATTCTAGTGGTTGTATAGTAAATGTCATTGTGGTTTTAATTTATATTTTCCTAATGACTAATGATGCAGTGCATCTTTTCATGTGCTTCTTTGTCATTTGTATGTCTTCTTTGGTAAAACGTTCAAATATTTTGCCTATTTTTTAAATTGTCTAGTCTTACTGAGTTGTAAGCATTCTTTATATATTTAGATACAAGTCTTTTGTTAGATATATGTTTTGCAAATATTTTCTCCTAGTCTATGGTATGTCTTTCCATTTCTGTAACAGGGTCTTTTGAAGAGCAAACGTTTTTAATTTTGATGAAGTCCAATTTATTGATTTTTAAATTTTTTAGTTTTTTGGTTTTGTGTCCTCTTTAAGAAACCTCTGCCAAACCCCCAGATCATGAAGGTTTTCAGTTTTCCTTTATATTTAGATATATGATCCATTTTGAGTTAATTTTTGCATATGGCTAAAATTCATTTTTTTTGCATATGGCTATCCAATTACTTCAGCACCATTTATTAAAGAGATTATCTTTTCCTCCATTGAATTACCTAGGCATTTTTGTCGAAATCAATTGACTAGATATTTGTGAGTCTCTTTTTGGACTCTTTACTATTTTATTTACCTATTTGTCTATGTTTATGCTATACTCACTGTCTTAATTACTATAGATGTACAGTAAATCTTGAAAGCAGGTAGTATAAGTCCTTCAACCTTACTGTTCTTCTTTGAAGTTGTTTTGGCTATTCCAGGCCCTTTGTTTTTCCATATCATTTTTAAAATTAACCTGTCAATTTCTGAAAATGATCTTCTGTTATTTTGATTGGAATTGCATGAAATCTATAACTAAATTTGGGGAGAACAGACATCCCAATAATATCAAGTCTTCCAATCCATAAACATGTTATATCTCTCCATTTATTTAGGTCTTCTTTAATATCTCTCAGCAATGTTTTACAGTTTCTAATATGCAATTTTTGCACATATTTTGTCAATTTTGTCTTAGGTATTTCATATTTTAAAATCATGCATAAGAAGTTTTGATGAAATGCTGGACATTGTGAGTTTTAATTCTACAGATGCTGGATCTTATTTCCCTCGAGAGAGAGTTAGGCTCTGTTCTGACATGGAGTTATGCTACTTGGGATCAGTTTGATCCTTCTGCAGCTAGCTTTTGAGCTTTGGTAGGACAGATCTAGAGCAGCCTTTACTCTGGCACTAAATCTCTACTAAAAGATGATACCTTTCCCAGGACTCAATCCCTTGTATAGCCCCTTGTATTAGAAGGCCAATAGGAACACAAACCATCTCTAGCCCTGTGTGAGCTCTGAGAGTTGTTCAGCCTACTGCTTGTCGTGGTTCTTTTCCCAACTTAATGGAGTTTCATCCCATTATTAACATGTGAAGATTCAGTCAAAGATTTGAGGGTATTCTCCTTATAACACCACCATCATCATTATCATCATCATTATTATTAGAAACACTAATTTTGGGCCGGCCCCATGGCTTAGCGGTTAAATGCGCACACTCCGCTGCTGGCGGCCTGGGTTCGGATCCCGGGCGCACACCGACATACCGCTTCTCTGGCCATGCTGAGGCCGCGTCACACATACAGCAACTAGAAGGATGTGCAACTATGACATACAACTATCTACTGGGGCTTTGGGGGAAAAAAAATAAATAAATAAAATTATAAAAAAAAAAACACTCATTTTTTTGACACCCACCTCTAGCACCTTCACCCTTTGAAATCTCCCTACCTCCCTTTTTCCCCACCTACTCTGAAGTAAGCAATCCCTCCTCTGTGCTTCAATTGTACTTTTCTATACCTCTATTAAAGCATTTATTGCAGGGTTTTGAAATTGTGTGTTTATATAATTGCTTCCCCTAAAGAATATAAACTTGAGGGCAGAGATTCTAATTCCTCTTTTTAGCCCTACTTCCTACCTCAGTGCCTGGTGCATTAGGCATTCAATACCTGTCAGCTGAGTGAAGAATATTCATGTAATCAGTGTTTGTGTACATCCTCAGGTGGCCAGCAAGGGAGGGGGGACAAGGAAACAAAAGTGTTCTTTGCTCCCAGTTTCTTCAAACTTCCTCAGATCATAAGTAGGTGGCTTCTCTTCATTGTTCATAGAGAGGCCCAATCTTGTACTTATATTTAAGTATATAAACCCACTGTACATGTGTTGTGACATTTATTGGCAAAAGAACAGAATTAAACATTAAAATTCAAATTGTTCGTACTTGTCCACTAGAAAGAGATGAGTTAACGTTTCTTCATTGAGATTAGGCCTGCAATTTAAAGTAGTATGTTATAAAAAGAGACAGTAAGATTATCTTTTTAGTATGTGTATTTAAGGAATCCAGAAATTTTAACTAGGTGATTTACTCTAGTCACTTTTATAAAAATAAACTTTTTATGGAAAACAACAGCAACTATAAATTTAAGTATCTTGCACATAATAATTTTTCAATAAATGATAGCTATTATATTGTTATTCCTTGATAGTCTAGCATTTCTAATTTCTTTGTTTTGAGACTATTAGAAAACCATCCACACTTCTAATAGTAAATTTTCCATGTTTATTCACTTTGCCTTTGAAAAAATTAATTCAGGTAAAATAATATTGATATAGCATTTCCTTTTGTAATTTACTAATTTACCATATTACGCTTGACACTTTATCAACCAAAACCAACCAAAAATGACTTTACCATTTCCAAGATGGAAAAAAATATTACCTGATCAACATGTGGATTTTTATAGGTGTCGCCCATACAAGCAATCCCATCAGTCAACAACTTGTTGTAGAGGAAAATGCCTTTCCAGTACTTATTCAACTACTGAGAAATCACCCTTCTCCTCACATTAAGGTATATGTAAGGTTTTAAGGGTTTTTTTTCTGATACAGTAAAAATTAACAGAAATATGACTTTTTAAGAATAATTTGTATCTTTATGCAAGTTCACAAGTATAAAAAATATTTAACATTTTTAACAAAATCTTAGAAGTTTTAAGCAAAAAAGTTGCTACAAAGATTGTAAATTTTATTAAAATATGATTTCTTCAAATATAGTAATAAAGTCTTATGTTCTTACTTATCACACATCTTTTATTCCTCAGATATTTGATTATTCACAGAATTTCTTCCAGATATTGGTTGCTAAAATTGGGTGGGGATAATGAGGATGTGATTCACGTAGCAAAATTTCTCAAATGTAAGTGAATCCGTCAGTGCTACACCATTACAACAGCCTCCCTTCTGCCAAGCAGCCTGTGCTGGCTGGCAGCAACAGTTTTGTCAAGGGTGGACATTAGGAAGAATTGCTGTGAGTTGTTGAAGAGTCATTCGCTCTTCCATTTACTTCTAGTGAAATGTCTTTAATAAAACAACATTCACATCTATTCAAATCCTCTTACCAAGGCTTTGGAAATTCAGGACATCTATAGTTGGCCAGGCAGGAAATTATAACAACAAGAAATACATTTTCTCTTCAGAATTTAATATGGGCTCTGTTGGAAATGAGAAAATAGAAATAACATGGGAAGAAAATATGTAAGTAAACATAGCATTATTTCTTTTAAGGAATGTGTTTGTTACATAAAAGATGTCATAAGTTATGTGGCTTTTCTAGCTATGAAAGAGATTATTTTATTATAGCAGTTGATTAAGGAAGCAAAAGGAAGAAGCATATGCTAGCAATTTTTGGCTTGAATTATACGTAAAAACTACACTGACTTCCAAAGTACAAATAAATTTCATAAGACTATGGAAAATGCCACAGAAAAATATATTTTTATTTTAAAACGTGCATTTTCATGGCAAAGCAGATTACTTCACTTGCATCCATCTATATTTCAGTATATTTTCACTGAGTTCTTAAACTTGTTAAAACAGAACATAAATGTATTTCAATACTTTTCTTCAAATAAGATTCTATAGTAAACAAAATATTTTTGCAACAGTAATGCTTTTCAAATTCATAACCTTTTTCATAGAAATGCATAGCATAGTACTTAAAAAACTTATCTGAGTCCCTCCCAATAATAAACAAGGCTCGTGTACATTCTCCAAAAGGGCTTGAATGTGCATTCAATGACTCCAGACCTAGAGGAGGAAAACTCTTCTTCAGTACTACTCCCCAATGCTTTGCTTAAATTGATAGGTGTCCCATTAAAGCCTTACAACTCAATTGTCAGTGGCTAGCTAACAAGCTGTTTAAAACAGCTTCTTAACCCATGACAAGAAATTAAAAAAAAAATCTCTTTAAATGTGGAAGGGATACAACTATGCACTTAAGATAATACCTCCTCACACATCTTGCTGGCCCTGGGTGCCCCCCCCCCCCCCCCCCCCCTCCGTCCGTCCAGGGCCACCAGCAGCCTCCACAGCATCTCTGTGCAAATTAGAAACTCGTAGCCCTTCCTCCCCCCCCCCCGCCCCCGTGCCCTTATGGAGCTTTGTGGTTGTTCCGGTACACAGAGGAAGGATATTTTCCCAGATGTTAATTATAAGGGACATTCCTCCAGAAGTTGTAAATGCCACTCTCTAAATATTAGTCAGAGACTTGGAAACAATGGATTTTCTACTATCTTTGAATTAGTATATCCCATATAAATGTTTGTATAATAAAATATGTCCTTTGATAAACCATGAGTGAAAACTAAATTTCTGAAAACTACATATTTAGGTTGAAGTGGCATTTTCTCTGGCATGCATTGTCCTAAGGAATGATCTGTTACAGAAAGAATTACAAGAAAATGAAGGCTTTAAGTATGCTGATGTCCTTTATCTTCTTCACTCACAAGATAAGGTAATACCTTTACAAAATGTTAGAGCTCATTCAGAAGAAAATGGTGTTTAAACCACTTCCTCAAATTGTCTTCAAGTCTTTTTCATGGCAACATTTAAATGTATTACTTAAGAAATGTAAAATCTCCTTGGTAGGTTGTTAGTTTGTAATGATGGAATAATGCTGTTCCATATTTTTCATAGTTGTCACATTTCATCTTTGAAATGTAGCAATTTTAATGCTTGGTGAAGAGCCAAAAACTAAATGTCTTCTGTCCTGGATGCATCAAAACTTTAACCAAATTTTATGACCTTTCAACCCTCAGTCATCCGCTTCTTACCCAATATTCTAGAGAGGTGCTTCTCAAACTCTTTGTTATGAAGGAATAGCTTTTTCCCAGCAATCTGTTATGGGAAGATAAATTTTAAAAAACCAAACTTTAAATTTTGAAATCATTTTAGACTTTCCAAAAATTTGTAAAAATAGTACGGAGTGTTCTGACATATCATTCATCCAGCGTTTTTGGATGTCAACCAGGAAATTAACATGGATACAAGACCATTAACTAATCTGCAGACCTTATTTAAATTTTGCCCATTTTCTCACCGATGTCCTTTTTCTGTTCCAGAATCCAATCCAGAATCCCATATTGCATCTAGTTGTCATGTCTCTTTAGTCTCCTTCAGTCTGTGAAACTCAGTCCTTAGTCTTTCAGGATTTCATGTCTTTTCATGATTTTGACATTTTTGATGAGTCCAGGCCAGTTTTTTTGTAGAATGTCCCTCATCTTCAGTTATCTGATGTTTTCTCATGATTAAATTGAGGTCATGCATTTTGGCAAGAATACCACAGAAGTGATGTGGTCTTCTTTAATTACCCTCCCAGTGCATCGTTTCTAGGGGTACATGATGCTGATATGTCTCATAACTGGCAATGCTAACTTTGGGTACTTGGTTAAAGTGGTGTCTGCCATATTTCTCCACTGTAAAGTTACTCTTCTTCTCTGTAATTAACAAGTATCTTAAGGTGAGACACTTTGAGATTATGCAAATATTCTGTTTTGCATCATACTTTTGCTCACTAATTTTAGCATCCACTGATGCAACAATGATTACTGTGGCATTTGCCTAATGGCGATTTTTAAAAAATTTCCCTTCTTCTTCCTTCTACATTTATTAATTGGTATTTAACTGTAAAGAAGAGCTGTTGCTTTTAAACACTGATTCTCAGTTTCTGTAATCGTGCTGTCAACCATTTTGTGGACTGTCACTGATCCACGGGCCACACTTTGAATAGCACTAACCCTAGAAAAACTCAGGAGCTTTTGTTGTCTACAGTGCATTTAGCAATCAGGGAAGAAAATTACCAACTATGTCTTTCTCAGTTCTGGGAGATTTTGGAGGAAGAAAGGAGGGTTATAAGAGGAGAAATGAAGTCATTGCATTACTTTTTTTTAAATATGGAATTTTACTCTACTGTGGTACACAAAAAGATGGAGAAGTGCTGCTGTAATAACATGGGGAATGATAGAGTGAGGAGACTGAATTCATGTCTGACGGACTCTCCCAGCCACCCTTCTTCCCTCTCTACTCCATTCCTTCCACACTTGACTCTCATTACTCTAGTCTTCAGATACACCCCTTCTTCTCCCTTTTCTTCCACTATCCATTCCACATTCAATCTTTCTCCTTTTCCTCCCATCCTGTTACCATCTGCTTCACTCTCTGGACCCTATTCCTTTGACTGTACCTAATACCTTTCTTCTTTCCTATGCGCAGGTGACTACTTTGTGTGTACACAATTTTATTATGGAAAATTTCAAACATATGTAGAATTAGAGAGTAGCATAATGAATTTAAATATTCCCATCACCCAGCGTCAGCAATTATCAACTCATGGCCAACCTTATTTCATCTATATACCCACTCACTCTCCTTATATTATTTTTGAAGCAAATCTCAGGCATCATATAATTTTATCTGTAAATATTTCTGTATGTACATATAGCATTTTTATATAATGATTAATAGTGGCAGAAGAAAACTCACTAAGATTAATGATTCTCGCTCACTCTGTACTATACTGTTCAAATAAAATATTCAAAATAAGATTTAGTGATATAATCCTATCTTTTGGATCTTTCTGGAAGACCTACCATATTTGTCCATCTTTGGCAAGTGACTGACTCTAAGGGAGAACTGGCTTTTGCTCTATTTGCCCAGTCCCAGAATGTTAAAATGTGATTTTTAAAAGTAAATCATTTTTCTTTCATTCCCCCTTACAATATAGTACAGTAAAATTTTGCATGTGAACTTCTTTTAAGAGATGATAGAGATCATCCCACAATGCATAAGATGCAACATACTGATAGCATGCTATACAAGGGAAGTTTTGATTTATCAACTCTACTTTGAAATGTTGAAATGAAAATAAAAATATGCTGAAACAAAAAAGTTGAAGGTTAATGAAATTATGGAGTTTCCTGTTACCATTTAGGTATTCATTTGCATAATCAGTAATCTAACATTCCCTTTAAAAATTACAATTTTTTCTCTTTTCTTCTTCCTGATACCACAACCTAATTATCTATTTTCTCTGTTCAGTAACATCCTGGGGTAACTTTATTATCTGTTTTCATCGAAAATGTCATATTTTACTCCCAGAGATAAGAATGCAATATATTTTAATGGGCAAGAATTCAAAACCTATTACCTTAAGTAACATAATAAATGAAGTAAGTTAAAGATAATGCATGTTTGGGGCCAGCCTGGTGGCGCAAGCAGTTAAGTGTGCGCGCTCCACTGCGGCGGCCCAGGGTTCGCTGGTTCGGATCCCGGGCACGCACCGACATACCACTTGGCAAGTCATGCTGTGGCAGTGTCCCATGTAAAGTAGAGGAAGATGGACACAGATGTTAGCCCAGGGCCAAAAAGATAATGTATGTTTCTTCTATTTCTAGGATATCTGTTTAAGAGCAGGCTATGCATTAACCCTTTTTGCCTTCAATAATCGCTTTCAACAATTCTTAATATTGGAAAGTGGAATAATGACCATATCAATTTTTGAACCTTTTCTTGAATCAACAATTGAAACTGAGAAGGCAGTGGCAGCATTTCAGGTATAAAACTGGAGGTTAAAACTTCAAATCAATAAATATGTCTTTTTAGTGAAAACTTGAAAATTAGAGAAATTTTTGGATCTGGAAAAATGTTTACTGATTTGTAGAATTCATGGTATTTTTTACACCAGCCCCTTCCACCTGATAAAAACTCTATTATCTATGAAGATTTCTTCATTCATATAGAATTTTACAAGTTACAAGATGCTTTTGCCTTTATACCTCATCTGATGCTCATAACAATCCTGTCAGGTTGACAGGCAATAGTGGTATTTTCATCCCCCCATCTACAAGGAAATAGAGAAACATGGTAGTGTCCAAGACAAGTTTTCCAACTGCAAATCTTTAGCTGATCACACTGATTATTCAACCTGTGACAACTATATGTATCTGGGTTCTTCTTAGTCTTATTCTCTCTCTTCTTTTTCTAGCATATGACCTTTAGGAGAAGTATTTACTATGAATCCATACCTCAAGTTGTAAACATTGTGGAAAGAATAATATGGCCTACTACGGTCACTGCAATGACCAGTCAGGGACAAGTACTCACTCTTCCCCTGCCACCGGCTTCTCTTTTGTTGAATCTTACCACATTACCCCTCCTACTTTCCTTAGACGTACCCCAAAAAACATAAAAGCTTAATAAGAGAAACTATTAAGAAAATATTCAATGATTCTATGCTTCTTTTTTGTTTTTAGATTATTATATTAGCTAAAGTCATTATAGATGTGGACCATATTACTTTGTCTGCAAGAGGCGTTACTATTTTAGTTGACAGTCTGTATTCAGTTAATTCTGCTACTATTGTCTTGACAGGTAAGAAATAAGTAGAAGCTAATTGTATCCACATAAAACTATTTCCAAAATAATTTTTTTGTAATCTGAGCAATAATAAAATAGTAAGCCTGATACTCTGTCACACGGTTTGAAGAATGAACTCATGTAAGCCTACAGGGAACTCCACAGTAAGTCTACATGGAACAATGGAAGTCTACTCTGCACCCTGAATAGGAGCAGAGTTAACTCTGAACACGGCCTTTTTGATTTCCTAATTACTTTTTTTGGACCTCTAATTATTTTTTCCAGAATATAATGAAAATTCAACTATGAGCTACCAACAACAAAATTTACACACTGATTTATAATAGTAGTGGCAGATTTATACTGATATAGCTCTGTCTGGTTTCCTTTCGACCAATTGCGCACATTTTGCTAATATTTAAGAGTTCTCCGTGTTGCTACATAATATAGCAAATCAAAATGGCCCAACAGAGTTCTTGACACACTTAATGCTAATTACGTAACTATATCTACTCCAGACCTGACTCTCCAGATGATCAGTAAGTTAACTAACTTGATATATCACTCTCAGAGCAACATAAAACAGTATCAAAATGACAGCCACATGGAGTGACTAATACCAAAAAATAAATAAATAAGGTATTTGTTTTTTAACTGAAATGGATCACTAAAGGCAGCAAAGGAAATTGAAGGAATGGAATGGAAGGAATTGAAGCAAATGGCATTAAAGGAAAATTCAAGCAAACAAAAACTTTCTGATGGAAACTAGCTAGGAAAAAGACATGTTTAAAAGAAGTTATTACCTATATTTTTATCTAAACATTCTTAATTCAATGTCATAGTAATTCTGACTCCGAAAAACAATTGTAGTGGGTTAAAATTTTATTCCACAAACTCTTGTGTGCAAGAAATGCCATATTATACTAGCTTTCAAATATTAATTTCCCCAGGCTGGTAGGAATTGAATCTCAAAAATTACTAGACTTTCTCTGCACTCCACCATCGGAGTCCTATGCATGTCCGGGGTATCTCAAGCAAAGCAGGATATTCAGGCCTCAGGTATAATGTAAAATAAATTATGTGCTCAACGTCCAAGTTGACGTGGTTCCCCGAAGAGGCTCCAAAAACACAGAAGTTTTGCAGAGACTAGGATTTCTGTTGCCAAGTGTCCAGTTTTCCTGTGTACCACTTAGCCATTCCCACTCAAAGCACCTGTTCCTACTATCTCCTTCCTAGTCTTAGATTCTCTGCCCTCCTCCATTTGTTCCCCATTCCTTACTCCCCATCTTTAAAGACACCTCTGTCCCTTCCCCCTAGCATAATGCCTTCTATAAACTCAGACTTTTGAAAAATATAAGCCTGAAAGGTTATCTTGAGATAATTTTTGCTCTAGGTCATACTACCCAGACCTCCCCAACCTGAGGCAATAAATACAAAGGCCTTCTGGGCTTATAATGAAGAGCAGAAAAAAATACAAGGAGAACAAAAACCCAGTTAATACCTCAATAAAGTATCCACTCACAAATATAAAAATACATTTATATCTTAAAGTCTGTGTTACACTTATTCCAATACAGCAATAATATTGTAAAAGAATATCACATAAAAGCTCTAAAAATAAAACATGAATGCGAATGAAACAGTTTTAAGTTGGCAGCTGCACATTTACTTAATTACTGGATCACTTTATTATTTTCAATCCCAAAACATTTCTTTTTATGGCAAGAACTTCAATAATTTTAAACTTCAAAAAGCAATACATTTCTTGATTTAAAAATACCATTAAGATCTTCTTAACTGAAAGCCATTTGAACTGCAAAAAGGACACATTAAATTTTCTCACGGTAGTTCAATCATTATATTCATAGTCATAAAACCCCTAAAACTGCAAAACAAAATATATTCTGAAGCCAGGCGGAAGAAACCTTCTGATTTTCACAATTCCCCACTCTTAAATAAACCTATTTAACTTTTATTATTTGTGACAGAAAACCAAACCATAATTTTGGGGTAAGTTTATTCTACATTTACCATATATATGTTTTTCTCAGCACTTCTTCATTAACAGAGATGTCTTGTGACTCAAACCTTTTTAATACCTTTTTAAACCTTTTAATGTGCAAATAAATAAAACAGTATATCAGTTTATATCAAATAACACAAGCATTTTTTCTTGTTTAATTTTTAGGGAATTTAATAGCTAGCCTGGCTCATTCTAGAGCTGGTATTTCAGAAGCATTTACTACATTAGGGACAATCCAACGGCTCTGCTATCATTTGTACTCAGGAAGAGAAGAGGTAAAAACAAAAGTAATTCTAAAATTGAATATTCTAAAAATATAACTTGCCTTTCTCTCACTTCTGTGGGCTAATTTCTCCAGAGGTTAACTGTGTTATGTAATAGTTCATGTGACTAACTCAAAATTAGATGATTTTTCTTGTACTACATCTGCCATCCACAATTCTGGTATCCACAAAATGTGCACATTTGTTTTAACTTCAATATTGAAGATTCAATCTACAAATAAGTACGTTGATGATACAGAAATTTGTAATTAAAATATTTATAAAATATAAACTGGTTAGTTTTTGTAATCTCACTAAGTCATTTCTATAATTATTTGTAATGAATGAAAGTGGAATCCACTGGACAGCTGTGTGAAGGCCAGGCTGGCCATAGTAGAGGTTTGCCTCTCAGTGCTCCCCTATGCTTTTCCCCAAGGTCTAAGGCAGTGTTCCTCTAATTTAGGGTACACCGGAATCACGTGGAGTACCTGTTACACCATAGACTGCTGGGCGCCATTCCCCAAGTTTCTGATCTGTTAGGCCCCAAATTTTGTAGGCCCAAAATTCTTGCATTTTTAACAAGTTCCCAGAAACTAAAGCTGCTGGTCCAGGGACCAGACACTGAGAACCACTGTTCAAGCATGGAAGATATATGGGCATATACAGCAGTCAGATGCCAGTATAAAGACCAATATGTTAACCCTCTGGTACCGGCATGGGCCTGGTTTATGTTCATTCTATGACATTTCTTATGCCACCACTAACAGATTTTCCTAAGAACTGCCCAGGAGTATCCTTTAATTAATCATATGAACAACCTAATTACTTCAGGGTCACAAGCAGAGGGTATTTCCTTCAGAGAAGGAAAGAACTACTTTTTCTGGAGTCCTGTGGCCTGATACTTGTGTATGTTTCTTTGTTTTTGCCAGTGGGAAATTGAGTTGCTTTCCTGAGTCTGAAAGGCTTTTTTTTTTTAATTGATGTTTTAATGGTTTCTAACATTGTGAAATTTTGGGTTGTACATTTTTGTTTGTCCATCACCATATATATGACTCCCTTCACCCCTTGTGCCCA